GCCCAGAGTCATCTGCCGGCGGGACGAATCTATCTCGACAGGAGGGAAGTGATCAGCGTCCCACCTTCGTCGTAAATCGGAATCTCAAATCACTGAATTCCAGATGCTGAATCATTTGAGCTGGCGTCACGTGCCTGACCCAAAATATTCGAAGTCTTGAGTTCGCAGGTCTTCCCTGCTTCATCATTCCAGCCCATTTGTCAACGCACGTCCAATGATCAGACCCATCCGCTGCACATCAGCTCTGACCTGTCCAGCTCGCGCCGGATTGCACGTCCAAGACGCGTCTGTGAGCACCTCAGGGCATCACGAACCAATCAGCGTTTCCCACTTCTACGTTTGCCACGAGCGAAGATAACGCAAAAAAGCATCCGCAACGCTATTTGACGAGCACCGCTTGACAGGCGTGGGAGATAACAACGTTCTTGAAGCCGTCCACAACCGCCCTATGAACAAAACATCACACGCACCTCTGCGCGTCAAGTACGGTCAGAGCTAGCGTGGCAACCAACCCCTGCTGAGCCTCTAAATTCCGACTCGGCAGGTCGCACTCCGGACGCTAAGGTCCACTGCACGTCTTGACAGCCCGATAGCCCTTGCATGCCCCGTCAACAATCAACTCATTCAGTTCGCGAAACGGCGGCCTCATTTACCGTCCCCCGTCCTCGCACATGATTGGCTCGTGGCTGCCCAAAGCATCCTCCCTTATCTTGCCACGGCTGACGTGAGTTGGCAATGCGTCTAGCGCCTGATAAGCTCCCTTGACCTTTCACGATCTCGCGAGAGAGCTCCTCGTCTTGCCCACACTGACTTACGGAGCAGGTCCGAGTCCAATGAGGCGCTCGGCATTGAAGCGCTATCTGGGTGATGGAAGCGGAAACGCTCTGGTAGAACGACCCTTGGGCCGTCACGAGCGCACGGGGCTGGAAGAAACTTGCCGGTGACCGCACCGGCTGAGGTGCGCGCTCTAAGCGCTATTGTGACTTGCAAAGCGTCGTTGTCTGACCTTTCTTGACTGGGGGAACCTTTACTGATAGCCGATGTGGCTCGTGTAGGCAACGATGAAGTGCAAGTGTGCGTTTGAGCGAGCAGATCGAACATCCTCACTGCTCACTTTCGGAAGCTACGCTCGTCAAACCTCCACAACGTGCTCAGTCCAGTCGTCAAGATGTCCATTACAATTACATCCATTGCACACAGAAGTGCGAGCTTGACAGAGATGATGCAGATTCTATTTGTTCTTTGTTTGTCTGCGGAGCCAATATCGAGTGGATCAGCTACACACCACTTCGGCGACGCTCTGCACCCCCACGCTCGCGCTCTCACCTGAAAGAAAAGCGTTTCCGTGTAGGCGCAAATTCACCCAACTTATGGCCCACCATCTCATCGGTGATTGAGATGGGAACGTGATTCTTTCCATTGTGTACCAAGAATTTGAGGCTGCATGGGAAGAAAGACGCACTTAGTCAGCTTGCGCTTTCCAATCAGCTAGATTGATTAGCACGACGGCAGCCGGACTCTGTGTATGCTGTCTCTCGCGTCTACTCCTACTGCCTCTCGCCTCCCACTGCGCGCACGAACATTGACAACTGCCCGGGACAGAGCATGCAGAGACCAGAACCTCCACCGTCTTTCCGAGAAACCTTCCCACAATCCGAGCACCCAGATCTCCGTTCGATTACTGCACAGGCCAAGTTTCAGACGGCTAACTTGGCCCCTGAAGCGCGGCACGGCATGCTGCCAGCGTAACTCGCATATATGTCCCTTCGAAGCGTCCCTCCACAATCAGCGTCTCCTCTTCCCGCCTTTGGCGCACTTCCCACCGAGTGACCTCCCACACATTGTAGAGGCTCGTCCTGTCGAATTTCGCTCACCCGACAAAGTTTGGCAAGATGGTGCAAGCTCTCGCATTGGTTCGGATGGGCGTGTTAGTCCTCATCGCCTGTGCCATGTTGGGAAAGGGTACGAAGAAGGGACCTGCAAAAGACAGGCACAGGTAAAGAGCAGCACAGCATAGTGCGCGTGTAAGCATGGGCGGCGAGCTGATCGATTGGACCCCCTTGAGAGGCGATGCTCATCTCACCCTTCCAGGCTGAACGCGCGAGTTGCACGCTGCTTGACCGCATATTGTAACCCGGGGATCGGTGCGGGATGCTCTTTTGCGGTACGAGGTGCTCTGAATGGGCGAGCCAAAATATAGCTTAGCGCGGCCTTGTGAGGCGAGCTCAGTGTCGATTGACGAATGTTCGGGGTTTGAGTGTGCGCTCGGGTAGCCCTCCATTCGAGGACGGGAGTCGAGGTCATACGTGGTGACGGAAGGCACGGAGAGGAGAATGTA